GAACAGTCATCACATTGCAGGCTGCCAGGGTGGTGGAATGTGCTAAGCCAGTGATGGGAAACCTGTGGCACGCATGCCACAGCTGGCATGCCGAGCTCTTTCTGTTGCATGTGAGCCATAAGTTGCCGGATCGCTACCCCCCCCCCCCGCAGCCAAACCTCAGGAGCCGGCTGCAGCCGTGATGCTGGTGCTTCGACAGGCAGTGAGCCAGGATCCAGAGCAGCTGACGCTGGAGGCAGATCCAGAGTGGGGTCTCGAAGCACCTCTGTGCCCTAGATTCCTCCTTCCACCGCCAGTTCCAGTTCCCCCACGGCCCGCTGTTTTGTTCTGTTTTTTTCAGTTTGGGCATTGAGGCCCAAAAAGGTTCGCCGCCACTGCCCTAAACTTTTGTAGTCAGACTTGACTACATCTTCTCTGTTTAGGATTAACTGTTAGATCTGTACAGGCAAATTTCATTTTTAAACATACATTGATTTTTAAATGGACATGAGTTTCTAAAACTGTTTTGCCAATTCTAAGCCCTTGTTAGACACAGCCTATTATGATTATAGATACGTACTGGTGTTATACTGGAAGACTCCCTGGAAAAGACCCTGATGTTGAGAAAGTGTGAAGGCAAGAGGAGAAGGGGACAGCAGAGGATGAGATGCATGAACAGTGTCATTGAAGCTACCAACATGAATTTGACCCAACTCCGGGAGGCAGTGGAAGACAGGAGGGCCTGGCGTGCTCTGGTCCACGGGGTCACGAAGAGTCAGACATGACTTAACAACTAAACAACAACAACTGGTGTTATTGAATGCAAACTAGAGAGGGGCATGAACCATGGGTTCAACAGTTTGTGCCAGTTCCTTTAGCAGCCAAATAGGTTTTCACCACTGTAAAGCCCCACCACCTCTGGTGGCTTCCCAGTTAGAGGCAGCACCTGGTGGAAAGAAGCCAGGCTGCCGCCTCCGAGTGGGCTTTGAAGCACTAAACACTTGTTGGGCCACTAAACAAACCAGTGGTTTGTGCCCATCTCCAGTACAAACTGGAAAAGTGAATGATATTTGTTGTTCATTGTATCTAATTTGGGGTAGAGCAATGATACGCCTGCTACATACAGTATGAAGCAGCTAGTTGTTAAAGGTAACTTAAATTATGGTGCTTTAGTCAGTGCATATAAGTTTATGGAGTGTGAGTAATTTGTGATTAAAGTCTAACAGAAAGTTCTATAGCAGCAGAATATTTATTATGATACCAGTTCATATCATGCTTTGAAGTACTTTTTTGGTAAATTGGAAAGAATCAGGCTAAGTCCATATAACATATGTAGCTAGTTGTGCAAATAAGCCTGAGTGAGATTTTGGACTGCCTCAAATTCTTTATCTTCCTTTTGATCAGGGAAGCAGTTGTGTGCGCACTTAACTTCTGACAGTCCAGTGCTTAAACAACATAAGAACTCAACAGGTTTGGATATAGTGCTACAGTTTTTTGTTTGTTTTCTTTTTTAGCTACTTCTGCTAGCAATGAACAATAGAAGTATTGTTTATGATTTTATGTATGTATGGTAAGACATTTCTAAAGAAAGAGGATTATGTATACCTTATTTAACTTGAATAATAAATGAATCAGATACTGTAGTAAAATAACAGTGGCTGAAAACAATAAAAAGCTTGGCTTTTAAGAAAGAGGTGTAGTATTCCTTCTGTACAACAGAGCTTTTCTGTGTACCTGCGGAATCCTCTTAAGTCCACTGAACAGTAGTCCTGAGCGATAAATGTGTTCTAGAGCAGTGGTTCCCAACCTTAGTTAACTCAGGTGTTCTTGGACTGCAACTCCCAGAAACCCCAGCCAGCAGAGCTGGCAGTGAAGGCTTCCAGGAACTGCAGTCCAGGAACACGTGGGTTACCCAAGGTCTGGAGCCACTGTTCTAGAGTGTTACATAGCAGTCAGACATTTGTGAACTCCCTTCATTAAATGTCTTTTTTAATTCATGTCAAAGATAGCTTGGGCCAAAGCCAGTGTGTAGTTGCTGATGTCTTAATTAGGTGTGCTCTAATTAGCAAATTAACTGCCAACATTGTCAAAGAAATTTTCAGTTGGAACCAGTTATTGGCTATATCAACTTCTCATGATGAGACAATTGTTCTAACACTGCAACATCAAATCTCTGACTTTGCACCCATAGAGTAACACAGGAGCACTACATGTGGTATGTAGAGCCGTTGTACAAGATAGATTAGGTTGAAGATGTACATGACAAATGTAAAAGTGCTATAGCTCTGGCTACTAGCAGTGGCCCACGGATGAGCATCAAAGCTGTCAGTTTTAGCTTTGTCAGAGCTCCTTTTCCCCAGTCCTCCACCTGAAGGGATCACTAAAGGTGGGAGCAAGGTGCAATAAGACATCTTCTGTATTTGAGAACTATGAGTTATGAAGTATACATCCTGTATTGTAGATAACTTGTGTTCATTGCTTCTGTGTTGTAGCCAAAGGCAGTGGATAGTTTATGATGACTGGAGAATGCAAACTGATATTGACTGTCAGTTCATGGAAGAAGGATAGTTTATTGGTTCTGTGTTGTAGCCAGATACACTGGAAGGATAGTCTGTGATGACTGGAGAATGCAAGCCAGTATTGGCTATCAGTAGATGGGAGAAAGATAGCTTGAGTTAATCATATCAGGCAAAAACAAAAGTAAAAGAAAAAACAACAACATTGTCACGTTTAAGATGGTTATACTCTAATGTGATCAGCAATTGACATTTCCAAATAAAATTCAGTTTGAACTAGTTTAGTTTCTCTTTTATTTGTATGTCAGGTAAGACCTGGTGGAAAGATAGATAAAAATTATCTTTGTAGGAAAGGCTCTACAAAATAGTTCTGAAAAAAAAGGGGGATAGAGACTTTATTCCACGAGGGTGTTTTTGGATGGGGAGGGGACAAGGCTGGAAAGCAGGGTGGATTAAATTTTTTTTTAAAAAAAAAAATTGAAATCAGATTTTTTAAATTTAAATCAAATTTATTTTAAAGGAATGCTTTTTGAGGAAAAATCTATCTAAAGATAGTTTTCCATTTATAGTTCAAAGGTTATTCAGCATGAAATAGAGTGGTGCCCAGCTTGAGGATGACCGCGCTTGATGACGAAATCGCTTTACAATGACTTTTTTGTGATCGCTATAGCAATCATAAAACAATGTTTCTATGGTTTTTTTTTTTTACGATGAATAGTTCCCTGCTTCGGGAACCGTTTTTTCGCTAAATGATGATTAGAAACGGCTGATTGGCGGTTCGCAAAATGGCTCCTTGCTGTTTTCCGGCCCGATTGTTCGCAAGACAAGGATCCCAAGATGGCCGCCCTATGGAGGATCTTCGCTGGACGATCAGGTATTTCCCCCATTGGAACGCATTGACCGGTTTTCAGTGCATTCCAATGGGTTTTTTTTTTTTGGCTTGATGACGATTTCGCTTAACAGCGATTTTAATGGAATGCATTATCGTCGTCAAGCGAGGCACCAATGTAGAGTGTAGTTATGTAGCATGGGACTACATAGTATTCATGCAATATTTACATTTTTGAAAAATAATTCAGTTAATCCAAGTTATCCAAACTGAGATAACATGCACTTTTTCACAGTAACAATGGTATAAAATAAGCAAAGTTTAGGAAAAGACGTTAATCCCATTGTTATTGTGCAAATATATGTACAAACAATGAATGCATTACAGTAGGACTGCAGTATCTGTGGGGGACCACTTCCAAGCCTCCCTGCAGATGCTAAAAAAGTGGATGTAGCGAACAATGTACATTGCATAGTCTCTGGATTCCTGTAGTGGCCAGTTCTGGTAAAGAAATCCTGGAAATACATACAAATATGTATTTTGGAGGGGGGTAATTAGTATTTTCAGGCAGTGGATAAGTGAATCAGCTGATTCTGACTCCGCGGATAGGGGGTTCCTACTGTACCTTAAATGCTAGGTTTGAAGATTGTTTGGAAGATAGTTTGCTTTTTAAAAAGATACTTTGTTTAACCACTTCATTTAGAGATCTTTGGGTAGTGTGGGCGGCATATAAATTAAATAAATAAACAAACAAACATTGATGTTTAAGCAAATATAAGAATGTGTATGTTATATAATGTTATTGTTTTAATTAAATAAAACCGTTGAAGTAGTTCTCCAAATATATGCGATTAAGCTATTAAACTAAAATCGGTTCTGATACAGCGGTTTTACTAATCAGACAGGTTATTATTCTAAACATGAAATATTTATCTGGTTGCACATATTAAAGATTATAACCACCGGCCAGAATGAGTCTTTACATTTAAAAAACATGATTTAAATCGATTCTTACTGACTAGTGATTTAAATTGACTTGATTTAAATTGAATCCACCATGTTGGAAAGTGAAGGGAAAATGAGCCATTGATGAAGGAAGCATGTGAATATTTTTCTTAACCATCAGATACTCTTTTTTAGCTGTCTCCTCTATTCTATCTTGCTCCCGTTTAGAATATGTGTTGCAAAAGTATTTTTCAGTTCAGAAGATGCCTAGAAAATCCCTTCCCAACTTAGTTTATAAAAACTTATTACAAAAGGCTTTTTTTTAAAGAAATGAGGAGTACCATGGGAAAAGGAAGGATGAGGAAAGAGGCTCCATGTAGCTTTATTAGTTGAACTGAATTGTGTGTTTTCATAAGCATGAATTTGTTTCCCCTTGCAATTGTGTTAGATTGCATGTTCAGTATAGCATTTTTACTTGGAACTGAAAATTCAGCAGTTGTCCAGTTGCAACATGAAAGACTAATGATATCATAGAGTATTTTGGATACTTGTTTGATGGGCGAACATTGCTTTTACTGATTGTTTTAAAAGTGATGGATGATTGGACCCTGGGCTAAATAGTAAAATGAAACAGAATGATGAATTGAATTGTTAGAAATAAAATGTTATTTATTTGAAGCACAAAAGTTAGTGCCTAAATATTAATTTTATTTCCTTCTTTTTAATTACAGGAATCAGAAGTAACATCGGAGTTGGCAAATGAGAGAGATTGTGATTATAACATTAGGCCAAATGAGAACTCTTACTGTTATCAACTATTACAAGAATTAAATGAGCAGAGAAAAAAGGGCATTCTTTGTGATGTCAATATTGTGGTGAGCGGAAGAGTTTTCAGAGCTCACAAAAACATCCTGGTTGCAGGCAGCCGTTACTTCAAGACTCTATATTGCTTTACAAACAAAGAAAGCCGTAACCAAACCACTGTTACCTACTTAGACGTTGTTGCTGTTCAAGGCTTTTCTGTCATCTTGGACTTTTTGTATTCTGGTAACCTTGTGCTTACAAGTCAGAATGCAATTGAAGTGATGTCAGTAGCCAGCTACCTTCAAATGACAGAGGTTGTCCAATCCTGTCGGAATTTTATCAAAGATGCCTTAAATATAAGCATAAAATCAGAAGCTCCGGAAGCTGTAGTTGTGGATTACAATAGAAGGTCAGTTAGTAGAGATGGATTGTCTTCAAGGGATCAGAAAGTTGCTAGTTTTTGGGCCACAAGGAATCTTACTAACTTGGCAAGCAGTATAAAAACAGAAAATGATGGCTACTGCATTGATGAGAGCCAGACTGAAAACTACCAAATGAATGATTGGGTTCAGGACAGTTCACCTGAAATGGCTGAAAATGAATCACAAGGTGAGGGAAAGGTCTTTGTATGGAATGATATGAGCTCACAAGGACAATCACATCAAGAGCCTGGAAAAGCAAGAAGGAAAAACCAAGCTGCGAAAAGATTTGTTTACAATATACCCCCCAATAATGAAGAAACATTAGAAGAATGCTCATCTACACAAGCATCAGTCCAGTACCCAGAAGAAGACTTGCAGTTTATCAAAGAAGAAGCAGGTAAATTCCTTTATCATAAACATCTTAAGCATTAAAATTGGCATGGCATAACATACTGTCTTCAGAACATCTCACATGGAATAAGAAGAGTTTGTCACTCATTTTTCATGTAAGATACCAAATCCTAAGGTGGCTACATTTAAAACCAAATTTATTTTACTGTATCAACCATCTTTCACTTCATCATTTGTGAGGTGTGCAAAAGTTAACAGTAAACCTATTGAACCTTTTAAAGAGTGAAATTAGGTAGAGAGGCAAATGGCTTTAAAACTTGACTTAATTTTAAGTAATGCTTGTTGTAGGTAGTGGGCCAGTTTTGTGTTTAAATCATTGGGCAAAATTCTGTTGGTGTGAATTTATGGCACATAAACTGGATCTGGCACCAGAAATATTTAATTTAAATGAATTGAAAGCTCCCTGTCTTTTCATTCAGACTCTGAGCTCTCAAGCTTCTTTTTGCCCTGGGGAAGCCTTTCCAAGTTTCAGAATGGGAGGGGTCCTTAATAGTAAAAAATTGCTGCTGGCTTGCTACTATTGGTTTTCTTAATCCTGCCAGTAGCCATCCAGCAGCATTTTTGGACTGTTGAAGCCCCCTCCTCCACTCCAAGGCTCTCAGAGGCTTCCCTAGGCCAAAAGGGAGCCCAAGGGAGTCTTGCCGGGGTGGGGAGTAGGGATTTTTCAGTTAGTTTAAATTAGTCATTTTCAGTGCCAGATCTGTTTTATGCTGGTGTAACTGTATGCAAAAAGATTTGCCCATTGTTGCAAAAAAGAAAAATGTTGAATTGGAGGAAAGGTGGAAATAACAGTTACAGTGAAACAGCTAACAGGCTTCTTAAAATGACCATAATAAAAGAGATTATGTCTTAACAGTGACATGATCAGAACACACACCAGTTTTAAGTATCATATGTTGACATAGTGCCATGCTCAGAATGGTGCATTGTCCCATTTCTTGATATTGTGATTACTTTAGTTCACATTGCTACTAAAGGCGTTTTTATTTTTAGATCCTTCTTGGACATTAGGGATGGGGTTTTTGGATTTTCTGGAGCACAAATACCATAGTTCTCTGTTCTGGGATTTCTGTCTATCTTGCAGGTAGTGCAGAAGCATCTCAATATGGTGCACCTGGGAAAAGAGCCTAAATTGGAAGGCCTTTATATTGAGCTAGGCCAATGTCTGCTCTTGGGCAGTAGCCAAACACTTGGATAGAGCTTGCCGTAACTAAGCTTCAGTTCTTTCCAGTTTAGGACTTTCTCCCTAGTGCACCACATTGAGATGTTTTTCTTGGGTGCCTGCAAGATAGGTTTTATTTATTTATTTTATTTATTCATTAGATTTCTACTCCGCCCCCCTAGACAGCCTCTACTCAGTTGAACTCCCAGAATGGAGAACTTTGGCATTTGTTGTCCAGAAGATCCAAAAAATCCTATCGCCATTGGACATACCCTCTAGTACTCAGATCTGGTTTCTGTCCAGAAAAAGAGTAGTTTGTCTGATGGCTTTTCAGGAGCATCAGTACATTTCAGCAAGAGCTGTGCATGTTTATAGAGATAAATGTCAAAGATGATGAAGCCATGGAAGATGGATCATGACTTCTTGGGAAATTGAAATACATATCAGGTCTGTATTTTACCATGTTATGTCTGAAATCCAACTTAATAATTATACCACTGCAATTCCATTCACAACTTCAGTGAGAAATAGACAGTTGCATTTCTTGCTGCATTTCAAGTCATACGTATGACTAGTGTGTAACAGGAATTGCACTGCCAGTTTTTTAATTAGCAGCAATTTACTGCTGAGGCAGGCATGAGTAATAGAATTCTGCCTGTGAATATAAAATGTATTATATAGAATTTGACACACAAAAAGCTGCTGTTTGAACATTTATTTTTTAAAAAATGACTATCTTCAAATAATCACTGTCCAGTATTAGAAACACAACATCAGTCTGTAGAATTTAAAAGTACCAAAGTATGTCTTGGTGAAAACTGAAATAATATAGGAATATAATAAAATACAACATGATCAATAGTTGAATAAACTGGTTTTTCTATACTAGCCTACAGGTTGTGTGTGTGTGTTTCTCCAAAGCATTTTGCACATTTTAAAAGAGGTAATTGACATAAGAGTGTCTTGTATTTTTTCTTAAGAAATGAGGGAAAGACATCAGAGCAGAGTTAGATGTTCCCTTCAGGTTTCCTATGTGTCTGGTTCTTCATATGGTGATGAATATGAAAAGGCACATAGTACAACTGTTGGAGGGTGTTTTTTTTAAAAAATGGAACTTTTTCCTAGCATACAAAACAGGAGAAGAGTTTTGGCAATTTAGTTCCAGTGAAATATCAGGTGAAGCAGAAGTTACCTGAATTTATTAATAGGGGTTGTAAATAACGACTCAAGGATCACCTGTGCTGGGTACAATTGACCTTAAACAACTAGATGCCCACATTTTGTAGTCTTAAGAGCAGTTTTTTTCACTTTTTGGGAAAGACTCCCTCAAAACTTTTCTTCCAAAAACTTGAACTGGATTTTAAAAAGTTGTGTTTATGTAACTCTAGATGCTGTCTCTGTAGGAGAAGGAAAATATGTGCATTAGAAGGTTACAGGGTGTCCTGCTGTTCTTTCCAGTTAGAATATCTGATTACATTGGCCAGTATTACTGTTCAGCATTCATGCACATGGAATTTCAGCTTCATAAACTGCTGCAGCAATTTGATGAAGTGCTGCTTATGTGCCTGGATGTGTCTGATGTCCACCTTGGCAGATTGTGAGAGCTTCAGCTGCTGGAGTTCCAAATGTATATGAATATTGGACATGATACTGGCCATTGTGATCTAATAGAGGTGGGGCTGTGGGAAAATTCAGCTGCACAAGGTATTAAATAAAGATACCACCTGACTATTACATGGGATTATGATTTAGTTAATAGACATTGGTCACTAATTCAAGCAAAATAAGACAATGTTTTGTTAATATACCAAGAGGGAAAACTTATTTATAATGATTCTTAAATAAGCAGTTGAATTCTTTTAAAAAATGAGTATTATAGCAGAGGTCCCCAACCCCTGGTCTTGGCATTACTGGGCCACGGAGACAGATCACCCACCCCCATGCATGCACTCCCCCCACGCCTGCCCACCTACTTGCATGGCCCACATGCACAGGTGCCCTGCCACCCACACATGCGTGTGAAAGCCCCTGCCCACCCGTGAGAGCACCCCGCCCACCCACGCATGCATGTGAGCACCAAACGTGTGAGTGCCAAACACGTGGTTGTGAACCCCACCCATGCACATGAGCACACTTCTCCCCACCCATGCATGTGCAAGTGCACCCTGTGTGCCAGGCGGTTCCCCCACACATGGACCCCGTCACCCTCAACTAGTCAAGCGATATGGAAAAGGTTGGGGACCACTGTGCATATCAATGAAGTACCGTATTTTTCCATGTATAAGTCACCCCATGTATAAGATGCCCCCACTTTTCTAACCCCAAATTAAGAAATCTAAATGGGGCTTAGCAAATGTAGCATTAAAAGGATCAAAGTGCTGCAGGATGGCTTTGATCCCTGCTTTCTCCCTTTGTGCTAAGCCCCGCGTGGCTTAGCAAAAGGAGGGGGAAAGGGATCAAAGCAATCCCACGACTGCACACTCATTTTGATCCCTTTCCCCCTTATACAGCCACGGGTTGCTTTTACCCCCTCCTTTTGCTAAGCCCCATGGGACTTAGCAAGCAGAGGGGAAAGCAGGGATCAATGCGATCCTGCAGCACTTTAATCCCTGCTTTCCTTTTGCTAAGGCTTAGCAAGTAGAGGGGAAAGCAAGGATCAAAGCCCTGGAGGATCACTTTGATCCCTGTTTTCCCCTCCACTTTTTTCTCCTTAGCTAACTTCTGTGTGTAAAATGACCTTAATTTTAGTGTAAAGATTTTAGACAAAAGTATAGTCTTATACACAGAAAAATAAGGTAAGTGCTGAATTTTAGCAGCAATAAGCAAAGAACCCCAAAGCTTTGGTTCTGTAACTTGCTAACATAAGTAATCTTGAAAGCCAGAAAGAATTAATAGTGTTTTTTTTAAGAGAATACTGCTTAAGTGCCTATGCAACCTTGCTGCCCAAGTAAAGTGCCATTCCTTTGACTTTTTGCAAAGCACAGGAAAAATTACTGTTAGAACAGTGCGACAGTGGAACCAGTTACCTCGGGAGTTAGTGAGTGCTCCAACACTGGAGGCATTCAAGAAAATCTTAGATAATCACCTGGCAGATATGCTTTGATTGTATTCCTGCACTAAGCAGGGGGTTGGACTTGATGGCCTTGTAGGCCCCTTCCAGTGTCACTTTTCTATGATGTGGAACAAGGATTAAATAATACTAAGGGTTGGAAGATGAAGCTTATTGGCCCATCCAGTCTCTCAGTCACAGAGACTTAATCATGTGGATGGCTTACAATATGTTAGTGAGTGGTGATTGGTAGTGCTGCTTATTTGGTGCATAGTGTTGAGAATTCATTGCTTAAGACCATTGAGATAACGTTTGCTCTGATGTGTGCAATACAGTCTTATTGGTGTATTTTGTGTATATGACTTCTAGGTTTGTATTGACTTACATGTGCTGAGGATTTTATTATTGAACCCTCCAACATGTTGCCTAATTAGTTCTTGAGCTGAGTTTTGAAAAGCAGTTTCTTCTCATGTTGAAATCCTTCATGCTTCTGATTGTAGAAGATTGATATCTGTGTTGAAGATCAAGACTTAATTATGGTTTTGGTCCACTGCATATTACTGAGCTTCGTACCTTGTTTGTTTTGCTTGTGTCTAATAAGAGATTGATTTGAGCAAGAAGATATGGAAATTGTGCCTTTCACTGAGAGGATGTTGCCTGCTTGGCACTTGGATCTTAGGCAAAAGTCTTTTTCCAGGTTTCCAGTTTAAATTAAAATCACCTTATCTTGTCCAAAAACTTTTCATAGAATTTTACTGTTAAGTATTAGCAGTTTTTTAGTTCATCTAGCTCACTGGTTCTTAACCTTGGATTACTCAGGAGTTTGGGACTGCAACTCCCAGAAGCCTTCACCACCAGCTGTGCTGACTGGGGTTTCTGGGAGTTGCAGTTCAAAAGCATCTGAGTAACAAAGGTTAAGAACCACTGATCTAGCTGTTCTCTGGAACACTGAGGACTTTTTTGAACTGAGATGCCCCCTCATAGTTGCTGATCCAGTTAACCTACTGATTTACAAGATAAGTGCTGTAGTGAAACCATACGCGATAACTAGAACGCACACTGCATACTGAAATGATGATTTCTTTTCAGTGTTCAAAATGAACACATCACTATCCTGTGGGGGACACTTTGAGCCTCAAAATCCAAGATCTTAGAAAGTTACTTTTAAAGTTTTTGTTCCAAACCCCCTTTCTCTTCCTATCAGATGTTGTTATAGTTAGAATTTCAGTGCTGCACGTCACTGACCAGTGGTACAAAATGCTGTCTCCACTTTGCAATCTTAGTGCTCAGAGGAAAGCATGAGATGATAGCAGATGACGCAGATAACTTTAACTTTTATTGAATTTATACCCCGCCCCTCTAGACAAAGTCTACTCGGGACAGCTTACATGAATGATAAAACAAGATGAGCCAGGCCTTGAACTTTGTAACAAAAAGGAGTGAAGTTACTTTTCATCAAGTTCTACTATAATATAATTTAGTTATACTTTAGTTATGAGAGGAGTTGATTATAAGAAGTGAATTATTTGTAACTAGTTGGTTATAATCCTGTTGCTTACATACACTAGTGTAAGTGCAGCTCTGTGAATTGCCACTAGTTAAGGAGGTTTTTCTTATGTTTCTCACTGCATATCAGGTCATTCATGATGAGGTACGTAGACAAGCAGTGACTCTAACTGGCAGCAGTTCATACCATTGTATATACTCTAGCAACAAGATTGTAGCTGTTACTTTTAAGCTGGGTTGTATCCCAGTTCCCTATCTGAGGCTGTATATATAACTAAGCATGAGACTGTAAAGTTTATTAATCGAATTTAAACACATACAGTGGTCCCTGGCTTAACGACAATAATCCATTCCAGGAAAATCTCTGTTAAGTGAAAACGTTGTAAAGGGAAATTTAAAAACCCATTGAAACGCATTGAAAACTGTTCAGTGCGTTCCAATGGGCTAAAAACTCACCGTCCAGCGAAGATCCTCCATATGGTGGCCATTTTCGGTGCCTGTATAGCGAGGAATCCATCCCTTAGCACAGCAGGGAGCCATTTTAAGCACCCGGCAGCCATTTTGAAACCCCGACAATCAGCTGTTTTTGATTGTCGTAAAGCGAAAATCGGTTCCCGAAGCAGGGAACTGATCATCACTAAATGAAATTCCCCCATTTAGACCATTGCGATTGCAAAAACACTGTTGTAAAGCGGATTCGTCATAATGAGGGGCAGTTGTTAAGTGGAGCACGACTGTACTGGTTTTGTTGTAACTATAGGAGCTTGTTTAAAATATTTCCTCAGTGTGTTTCATCACAGAAGCTGCTAGAGTCTGCACTCCACAGTAACTTCAGTAAACCATCTGAAAACTAGGATTGACCACTAAAATCTCACATACAAGCATTCGCTTTGAGTCCTACAGGACTGTTTATCATTTTGGGTGTTATAAAGCTGGGGGAATATGAAAGCAGGAGCAAAGTCACTAAAATCATCGCCAGATGGTTGTGAGATTTTAGTGGTCTCTTGTTTTCAAATTGTTAACAAGCACAAGTGAGCAATTTTGCTAATCAATCCTATGACCAACTAGTTATATTTTAGGCTCCAAATGTGTTATTGCTGTCATAAAGAAAAAATAAGAAATTTCAGGGGATTTATTATACAGTGGTGCCCCGCTTGACGATGATAATGCGTTCCAGCAAAATCACTGTACAGCGAAATCGTCGTCAAGCAAAAAACCCCATTGGAATGCATTGAAAACCGGTCAGTGCGTTCCAATGGGGGAAATACCTGATCGTCCTGCGAAGTTCCTCCATAGGGTGGCCATTTTCTGATGCCTGTAAAGCGAAAATAGGTCCGGAAAACAGCGGGGAGCCACTTTGCGAACCGCCGATCAGCTGTTTTAGATCGTCAAGCGAAAAATCAGTTCCCGAAGAAGGGAACTGATCGTCGTGAAGCAAAAAAAACCCATCGAATCATTGTTAAGCGATTTTCTTGTCAAGTAGGGTAATTGTCAAGTGGGCCATCACTGTATCAGAAAACAAGCTTAAATAACTTACTTCATTTAGTGGGGAGAGTAGAGCTATCCCATAATGACACTGTGCAATGTACTTGAGCAACCTCACTGGGTAACATCACAGAACAATTTTCAGGCCCACTGTGTCTTGTGTCAAAGGCCAAGGGTGCAGTTCTGTCTATATTCTAGTTGTTCATGCCAGAGGTAGGATCAAGATTTAAAATGATTTTTCTGCAGATCTGGGAACTGTCAGGAACATAGTTGTTGACAATTTGTTTAATAAAATTAATATACTCAGTCAAAATACTGATTTGTTGTCATGCATTTTACATAGCCAAATGATTGCTACTTTCTCGGCTCCAGTAATATATTTTCCCATAACATCTTATAATAGGTACGTCAAATGATTTCAAGTTTGGAATGTTTCCTGGTATCTCAAGTGATTTCAAGTTTGGATTATTGCCAAGTACTTCAAATGATTTCAAGTATGGATTGCTTCCTGAGTCCTGGCCGAAGGAAAACTGGGAAAATGGTAAGTAAATTTATCAGGTATTTATGGAATATCTCAACTTATACTGGTGTCTTTTGATGTGTACCCAACAAGACTGACTATTTTGGGAAAAAGTAATAGAGAAGTAAAGTGGGCAACTTACGTATCACTCCATAGCACTTAACACACTCTCTATGCAGTTTTCAGTTTAATTGTCCAGGCTACCCAACACAGACATGTGTGCATGCTAAGTACTCTCAGAAGTATGGAAAGCAGAGTCAGTATTGAACCAGGTACCTGAGCCTGTCAGGATTGAATTCATGTTGTAAGCAGAGTCTTGACTGCAGTGCTGCATTATAACCACTGTGCCATGAGAAGTATAACTTCCCTTTCAAAGTTTGCCTATAGATTATTCTTTGGGTCATAGTACCTAAACACAACCATTTCAAAAAATGGTCTTGATAATAAGATTTTCCTACCAAATAGATCCCCCTTAAATGGCATGTGGACTAATGCACATTCTTGGTATAGTCCTCCTTTAGCTATATTTTAAGAATTGTTTTATTAAAGAGTTTTATTCAACTGAGTGTGTTAATGGTTAGTGTTACAGTGGTGCCTCGACTTATGAATGGCCCTATAGTACTTTCGACAATTTCAAGTTATGACCAGCTGTGGCTGCAAAAGTTTGCTTCTACTTGTGACTGGAGCTTCCACTTAAGAACAGAAAAAGGCAGGGGAAAAAGGCGGGAAATTAGCCTGCATGCTTCCCTTGCTTTTTCCTTTGTTTCCTTTGTATTTCCAACCTGCCCCCTTTGTCCTCTTTGCATTTCTGATCTGCCCCATTTGTTTTCTGTGCATTTCCAATGGGTCTTGCATGCTTGATTGCTTCCCCCCTCCCTTCGGGTGGAAGGGATTAATGGTGTTTCCAATGAGTCTTGCAGTTGTTGTCGTTGTTGTTGTTGGTGGTGCTGGTCTTTTTCTTCGGCCAGAAGAGATTAATTGCATTTCAATTTATGTCCATCTTCTGAAACGGACTATAGTCCTAAGTCGAGGCACCACTGTATCTTCAACAGTGTAATAAACAAAAAGTGAGAGCTGCATTGGCGCAGAATAAATTCTGACCTTCATATAGGGGTGATACTTTTATAGGCTAAACAGAAAGATAATATGTGTGTAGAGGCTCAGAAAAGTGCACAAACTTTGGATGAGCGGACTATGTTCCCAGAATATTATTTTGTTTGTTTGTTTTGTATTTTCAGCACTTTTTCTGTATCTTTTTGATTGTACTGTAACAATACAATATCAGTGTGGAGCAATGCCATGTTGGCTTCTGATTTTTTGTGAAAAAGCGCATGCAAAGCAGAGACTGGCCTTCAGAATTTAAAGTGTTCATTTGTCTTGTTACATTTAACTGTTTATCAGCAAATGGGTTTTTTTAGCCCGCATCTGGTTCCAGCCTTGCCCACCACTGGTATCCCCTCCTCACATTCTGTATTCTGTGAGGTAGTACAGCCTTCACATTGAAAAGGGTTAAACAGGCATTTTTTTGACACAGGTTTTTTTGCCCAAAAGAATCTTGTAGTAGGCAGAAACGGTTCAGGATATAACTGCAAAACTAGTCTTTCAAAATTCTCTATATCCTATATGTAGGCTGGAAAACAAAAGGAAGATGGTAGTGTTACACTGGATTTATCCAGAGCAAGAAGTTCTCTAACAGCGTGTCAGGTGTGCTAAATATTAGCAATGCTTCAAGCAGAGTTTTGTTATTTTCCCAAAAATTTTTTTGTTTTTTCCAATAACTGCTGCATGCTCCTGTGTCAGTGGCCTAGGCATTATTTTTCTATCTCATGTCATTCTGGAATGTGATGGTGGTGGCAACATCAGTGGTAGGGAGGCAGCCAACACAAAAATGTTGAAGTTTGGAAATAATTGTCCTTAATGTCTTTCTATTTCCAAGGGATTAAAAATTAAAAATATTAGAATGATTGTCAGGAAAAAATGCCATTTGAAATATTAGAGTTTAGCATTTGTTACCATTTTCTGACTTCAGCACCTTCCCCAGGTCTTCCAAATTTTACATTTTGGATTACATTTTGATTACTAGATATATTTTTGACTCTTCTGCAGATACTTACACTACTGTGTCTGGACACTGCTATGTCCAGAACAAGGCTCCAAGGAAAAGATGAAGCTGGTGCAATCCCATAATTTGTCCTCCAGGTTCATCAAAATGTTATTTTCCCATGAAAGAGGTTGTCATTTCTACCTCATTTTCAGTGAAAATGGTTAGAATTCTCACGGGAATTTTTTTAGTAAAGTAGGACCCGCTTATCTGCAGGATCAGTATTTGCTGATTAATTTATCCACTGCCTAAAATACTAAATAAAAAACCTCATAAATACAGTTGTGTTCAAAATTATTCAACCCCCAATGCTGTAAAGGGGTTTAGGGACTATAGTGTACATTTGGAATTGCATTCAGAATGAAATCCTACAAGGACGTTTTAAAGAACCAAATGCAACTAAAATACCATCAATTGTTTATGTAATACAGTAGTAAATGTTTCTTTTGTGGTTTCTTCATTGCCACAATTATTCAACCCCTTAAAGACTACCACTCTGAAGAAGAGAGGTTCATTCAGGTGTTTTCGATCAGGTATTGAAAACACCTGTGGATGTCACCGAGCACCAATCAAGCATAATAAGCACCAATTAGGCAGCTTTAAAATGACTGTGATACTCAGCTCCTTCTAGACATTTACTGGTGTGGTTACAAACATGGTGAAGTCAAGAGAATGGTCCAGGAAGACAAGAGAAGAGGTGATTTGTCTTCACAGGAAGGGCAATGGCTATAAGAAGATTGCAAAGAAGTTAAACATACCAAGAGACACCATAGGAAGCATCATTCACAAATTCAAGGCAAAGGGCACTGTTGAAATGCTACCTGGTCATGGAATGGGTATAGAAGTTTCAGCTCAGACAATAAGGCGCACACTGCGTAATGAAGGTCTCCATGCCAGAACCCCCAGGCGCACCCCCTTGCTGTCTCCCAAGAATAAGAAGAGTCGACTGCAGTATGCCAAAAGTCATGTGGGCAAACCACAAAAGTTGTGGGATAGTGTTCTGTGGACTGATGAAACAAAATTAGAACTGTTTGGGCCCATGGATCAACGCTATGTTTGGAGGAGGAAGAACAAGGCATATGACGAAAAGAACACCTTGCCTACTGTGAAGCATGGCGGAGGGTCAATAATGCTTTGGGGCTGTTTTGCTTCTGCAGGTACAGGGAAGCTTCAGCGTGTACAAGGTACCATGAATTCTCTTCAGTACCAGGAGATATTGGATGAAAATGTGATGCAGTCCGTCACACACCTGAGGCTTGGGAGACGTTGGACCTTTCAACAGGACAATGATCCCAAGCATACCTCCAAGTCCACTAGAGCATGGTTGCAGAGGAAAGGCTGGAACATTTTGGAGTGGCCATCGCAGTCACCAGACTTAAATCCGATTGAGAACCTCTGGTGGGACTTAAAGAAAGCAGTTGCAGTGCGCAAGCCTAAGAATTTGACTGAACTGGAGGCTTTTGCCCATGAAGAATGGGCGAAGATACCCGTAGATCGCTGCAAGACACTTGTGTCATGCTATGCTTCACGTTTAAAAGCTGTTATAACTGTAAAAGGATGTTGTACTAAGTACTAAGATTGAATGTCACTTGGGGGTTGAATAAAAACTAATAATGATGTGAGCACAGAAAAGACATTTGTGGTTATTTCATTATAAACTTAAGGTTATATTTCTCTGACCTACAAGTGCCTCTTTCATGTAAATGTAAGCAAGGTGACTGAATGATCAAAATCAATGTCAAAATGGCCAAAACATTCAATTTCAGTGGGGGTTGAATAATTTTGAACACAACTGTACATGTTTATATGTATTTCCAGGGTGTATTTACCAGAGACCATGCAATGTATGGTGTTCAATACTTCTGCATTTTTTGGCATCTGCAGGGATGCTTGGTACCAATTCCCCCTCCTTAGTGTAGAAAATCCATTTCAAAACCATTATTCCACTAACCTTTTTTAAATATTTGGTTATTGTACTGTGGTCCTGCTTATCCTTGTATTTGGGCCAGTCAAAATTTGTACAGTGGACCCTTGACTTACAGACGGCTTGACTTACAGACTTTTTGAGTTACAGACTTCTCTGGCCGCAAAATTTAGGTTTGACTTGCAGCCTGAGAATTGACTTACAGACCAGAAAAAAACCAAAATGGAACAAAAACGGCCTGTTACCGGATTAATCAGTTTTCAATGCACTGTAGGTCAATGGAGACTTGACTTACAGACTTTTTGACTTGAGAACCGCCTTCCAATACGGATTAAGTTCTCAAGTCAAGACCCCACTGTAATGGGCAAAATCTTTCATATTTTGGTTTTTAAAAGTGGTGCAACTCTTTTATGGATCCATATCTATTTAAGTTAGGCTTCAAGCTTGATTATGGAATGGAGAAGACTTTGGTCACCTTGGTGGATGACTTGCTCCAGGAAGTGGATGGGTGGGTGTCTGTATCTCTTGGTTCTGCTGGGCTTCTCAGTGGCTTTTGATACCATCAACTATGGTACTCTTCTGGACTTGCTTTCTGATATAGATCTTGGCAATTCTGTTTTACAGTGGTTCCTGTACTTCCTGAATGGTCAGGCTCAGAAGGCTGTGTTGTAGGAATCTTGTTTGACACCCTGGTTTTTGTTGTGGAGTTCTCAGAATACAGTTCTGTCCCCTTTGCTATTTAACATCTACTGGGAGTTTTTTGGGTGAATAGGTACCACTAATATGCTGATAACACTCAACTCTGTCTCTTTCCTATCTGATTCCAAGGAAGCTGCTCTTGATCTAGACCAGTGTCTAATGTCCGTAATAGACCGGACGAGGGAAACGAACAGAAACTTAATCAAAACAAGACAGAGGGGCTCCTGGCCAGTCAAAAGGCAGATCAGGAAATAGGGATTGCGCCTGTACTGGATAAGGTTACACTCCCTCTGAAAAGTGGTTCAGCCCTGAGCCTGGATGCATAGGTTTCAGTGGTAGCCAGGAGTGTGTTTGCAGTTAAAGGTGGCACACCAATTGTACTATTTCCTTAGTTACTTCCCATCTGGATTACTATAGTGGGCTCTGTGCGGGGCTGCCTTTGAAGAATATTCAAAAACTTCTGCTCATTTAATGTGGTTGAGCCCAAACTAAAGGGAGCACATATCTCTCCTATTATGATAGTTTAACAGTCAGACCAATTCCAATGTATAGCTTTGGTTATGACTTATAAAGCTCTGTACAGCTTGGGTTCAAACTATTTGAAGGGCTATATCACTCCATATGAGCCTCCTCCTTCAAGATCTTCTGAGAAAGTCCTTCTCTTGCTCCTAGCATCCTCACACATTCATTTAGTGAAGATATGAGAGTCTTTTCAATGGCTGCTCCCAGATTGTATAATGAACTCACCCAAGAAGCCTCCTTCTTGGTCTCCTTGCTCTTATCCATTTGCTAGCAGGCAAAGATCTTCCTTTTTAGGCAAGCTTTTGATAAATGGTTTTTTTTAAAGAAATGCCACGTTTCTTGAATTCAGGGATTTAAAATAAAAAATAGTGTTTTTAATTGTAGTTTTTAATATTGTTATGCGTTTAATTATTTCTTCATGCTATATGTTACAGTGTTTTTAATTTGGATTATTGTGTTGTTTTAACTGATTATGGACTGCTTTGAGTACCCTATGCAGAGAAAGCTGGCCTAGAAAGAAAGAAATAAAGTTTTTAAATGAGAACCTTAACATCAATCAGGCTATAATCCAGACACAGGTTATAAGGGTGGGGGCACTTCTGTACATTGAGAATAAAGGATCAGAGTACCTCTGAGCATGACTGTGCTACCAGAACTGAATGCTCAGTCCTTTCTCACATACATTCATGCCTGATTTCCTCCCCAACTTTCTTTGTTAAAGCAGCCTAACTTGAGGGGGGCTTTTATGTGTTGACGTTTCAAATCATTGGCATCAGAAACTTGCCAACCTGCTGCAAGTTAGCCCATGATCATCAATAAACTGCAGTCTGTCTCCACCCTCTCTGAAATACAAGTGACAGGATGTAGAAGGAAATATGCAAGCTACGGATAAGTACTGTACTGTATAGCAAGATCGCTCTTCCTTGAATTATTTTCCTATCTTTTATAGATAAAAGGTTGTCACCACAGTGAATAGTAAGAGTATACACAGTATTTATAAAGATAGCAAATATCTTTTGATAAATAGATGTGTCGATGTTTTACTAAACTGATTGTGTTTTGGTTTCTAGGTGACTCTTCATTAATCATGAACAAATTGAAGTGTCCACACTGTAATTATGTAGCCAAATACAGAAGAACACTAAAGAGACATTTGCTCATTCATACAGGAGTGAGATCATTTAGCTGTGACATTTGTGGAAAGCTGTTTACTCGGAGAGAGCATGTAAAGAGACATTCCTTGGTATGTAACAAGTTTATATTATTAATATGAGGATTTGATATGTGATGAATAGTGATTGTACATCATCTTCCAGTATAGAATATTTATTAAATTTTGACTGATATAAAACTTGTGCTGTTAGACTACTGAATTAAAGAGGTGGAAAAGACCCTAAAGGTTATACAGTTTAATTCAGTGCTGAAGCAGAAATAGGAGTTCCATATTTTACTCTTGAAGACGCTTGATGGTCTAATTATGCCATCATATCCTCCAGGTGGCAATGATCCTCCAGTTGGCCACACCAAAAGAGGCCAGAAATACTCTTTGGAACTGCATCACATTTGAACTGCGCCTGGCCCCCTCCATGCCACCTTTAAGAGGTTGCTATTCAGAGAGGATTTTGATTGCAACCTCATATGATTTTTTTGCCTCCTTCCCTGCCAATTTATTAGGAAAATGTTGTGCCATCTAAGTTTTGAATCTTTTTTATGATTTGATTCTTTCTCTGTGATTTTTCACTTTCTTTGCCATGGCTTTGTTTGTCTGATTTCATCAACTCTTAGGTACCTAGAATAGTGCATTGTACTAATGGGGGTATATAAATTAATGAAATAAATATATATCTGCTTCAAAATAGAGAAACAGGTGTCATCTTGATACTTTTCTTCAATCTAGCTTCAAAAAAGATTTATGCAAAATCACACTGATAGTTTTTTGGGGGGTGGGGGGTGGGGACTGAAATATTTTACTGGATTTCTGAAACCTTGAAGTAGATTTGGAAATGTGTCCAAAATTCTTTAGCCCAGAAAACACCTGAAAGGTGTTCTTAAGTTATCAATTCAAACTCTGGCAGCCATTTTCATCCTGTGAATACAGGGTAAACTTTTTGTTACTTGCAAAGCATTACAGGTATGATAGTCTCTGCCCATTAGACTGCACAGGAAGCTTCTTTTTTTTAAAGAAACCTACTATTAATTAAAGCCCTGAGAGATCTGGCTGGGAGAATTCCTACACACCTCTGGGGGCTATACTACATGAATTCTGAAAATACCATGCCTAATTTCAAGTAAGAGTAAAATCTGCCCAAATTACACTGCAACAGTGGTATTCTTCCTGAAGAGCAGATACAGGTTGTTTATTAAAGACAATTAACATTACTTCTATGTTCTGTGAGCAAAAAAGTAATTCAGAGTTGTTGGAAATATCCAAATGTCATAACTATGAAAAAAATGTAGACACAAATGCTTAAAAATATATTAAAACTAAATTTAAGTTTTAGGCAAATATTTAAGTCAGATTTCAGTCCTAAAACAGAGGGGAACAAAAGATACAATAAAAATAATGTTTTAATTACATTCAAAAAATGCAGAAGCTTTTAACCTGAAAAAGCACATTGAAAAAGCAGAGAATACATAATCAAAAAGTAAAAAGCATTATAGCTTTAGGAAATCTTTAGCTTTTAATCGTGTTACTGGACATACATGAAAAATATTCTAAATTGTCACTCAGCCAATCCAGTTTGAATCTATGGAGAAAAAAATTACAGTGGTGCCCTGCATAACGAGCGATTCGTTTAACGACAAATCCACATAGCGACGTGTTTTTTGCGATCGCATATCGATGTTTTAGATGGCCAAAAATCACTTTGCGATGATTGGTAAGCGTTTCGCATAGCGATTTTTTTCTAACAGCTGATCGGCGGTTCCAAAATGGCCGCCAGGTAAAGAAAATGGCCGCCCGCAGTGTTTTCGCGCTCTTTCCTTGCTTACCGGGCAGTGAAAATGGCAGCCGCGTGGAGGATTTCTGGATAACGGTGAGTTTTTTGCCCATAGGAACACATTAAACATGTTTTAATGCGTTCCTATGGGCTTTTTTGCCACGCATAACGACGAATCCAAATAGCGACGATTTTTGTGGAACGGATTATCGTCGCTATGTGGGGCACCACTGTATATTGTACTGGTCTGTTCCAAGGTCCTTCTGGAAACTGTTGTTGCTGCGTATTGCTGTTCTTTGATGTCTGGTGCCTAATATTGTTGTTGGTAACCAGCGTACCCTCTAACTTTCAGCTCTGCTGAGATGTAGAGAGGAAGAGAGGGGCTCTGCCTCTCTCTTGCGTGATTTTGCCCCAGTGTGCGTGCATGATTCTGCCACCCCACGTGCAGGGTTCCATCGCGACCAGAACCCAATGCGATCACTTCGTGGAGGAGGAAGACAGCTGCACACAGGGAGGCAGAGGCATGCACATGTGTCTAGCTTAGAGGGAACCTTATTGGTAACTGTTGTGTTTGGCATGTCATCTTCGTACTGTACTTGTCTCTTTTCTTACCTATATTTATATTTCTCTCAGATCTTTTCATTTTCCTTCAACTGTAAAACACTGAATTTTGCTGGTATAGTATGTTACTGATCCCTGTAAATTGTCACTTTTTTCAGTGGAAATCTCTATTGCTTTTGCTGATACAGTGGTGCCTCGCATAGCGAGGTTAATTGGTTCCAAAAAAAACATCGCTATGGGAAAACATCGTTAAGTGAAATGCGTTTTCCCATAGAGATGCATTGAAAACCGGATAATCCGTTCCAATAGGAACGGATTATCCGGTTTTCTCCCCCATTATCGGGCGCAGTCCTTTGGGAGAAGCCTCGGGGGAGGGGGGAAGACGGCATCGGCTCCTGCCTTCTCCCCCACCACCCTGCTTCTCCCAAAGGGCTGCCCCAACTGTGCTCGCAGCAGCGGAGGAGGTGCCCGGTGGAGGAGAAATGACTGATTGGCTCCTGCCTTCTCCTCCACCAGGCACCTCTTCCGCTGCTGTAAGCACAATCGGGGCAGCCCTTTGGGAGAAGCCGGGCTGTGGAGAAGGAAGGCTGAAGCTGATCCAGTCTTTCCCCCCCACCGGGAGGCTTCTCCGAAAGCGCTGCACCCGATGGTGCGGGGGAAGGATTGGATCGGCTTCAGCCTTCTCCACAGCCCGGCTCCTCCCCAAGGGCTGTCCCGATGTTGCTT